ACTTTACCTCCAGGGCTAGGGGAGAATAAAAGGAACTTGAAGCAAGGGGCAGCTCCAAAGGCACTGATTCCCTACAAAGCCATTACACAGGACAGGGTTCAATCTTCAAGTTCTACAGAAAACTGTAAAAGGTGAGAACTTTTTTAGCAATAAATAAAATTTACTGGTCATACAGTATAATATGTGTGTTAAGAAGGCCATACATTATAAGTAACAACTAACCTACTTGAGCTTCATCCTAATGGAGAGATGGAGCATTAGATTATGCATGAAATGCCTGAAGTGGCAAATGGCTCTGTGTGTGTGTGTGTGTGTGTGTGTGTGTGTGTGTAGGGTGGGAATTGCTTGGTGATGCCACAAACCTATAGGACTGATGAGTCCAACATTTTTCTAGGCAAACCACATTCTATGGGTCAAATCCAGCTGCTTGCCCATATATACCATGACCCAAGAAATGGCTTTTACACTTTTAAATGGCTGAAAAAATAAAATATTTCATGGCATATAAAATTTCATGAAATTTAAATGTTAGTGTCCACAATGTTTTACTGGAACACAGCCATGCTCATTCCCTTATGTTTATGACTGCTTTCTAGATACACTAGTGGAGTTGAGTAAGTACAACAGAGACCTGGGCAGCTTGCAAATTTGAAAATATTTACTATCTTGTCCTTTACAGAAAGATTGCTGACCTCTGTTCTGGGCCAATAAATCATGCTGTTTTGAATGAATCACAGCTCCAAACCTGTGTATTCTTGTTGGTTTGGCCCCTGAAATACCCAGAATTTAATTGCCAGCCGAACAGAGAATTCAACCCAAATGTTAAGTGTATGGGACAGGTCTAACAGGTCTTATAAAGAAGGGGTACCCACCCAAGGAAACCAGAAAGATGTAAAAGGCTTTTCCTGAGTTGAAAGTAAGATGGTCCCAGGTTTATATAAGAATGGGTATAATGAAAAGTTTTCTCTTTGAAAGAATGTATTAGCTACCTCCTTCCAAAGGTGAGAATGAAACCATCCTCAAAATGGCGACCACCTTTGAGCATTAATTAGGAGCCTAGAACTGAGCAAAGCCTTTTGTTTTTATTATCTCATTTAATGGTCATCTCTTCAAGACTTAGCAAGGCTGACTGGCTCAAGCTGAACACAACCAGAAAGCTAAGGAAATGGAAGTCAATCCAAGGTTGTCAAAACCCAAGAGTCTAAAGCCGTGTTCATAGTAGCCACTACCCCACTTGAAAACAGAAGCGTGAATGCTCACCACGAACAGACGAAAGGAAAAAGGAAAGACCACAGAAATACTAGAAGCAAGTTACATCTTTATGGCCATGATATTATAAGCATTTTATTTATATATCTCTCACTTTTTACTCACTACCCGAATATAATTCAGTTCTTCCACTGTCCCTATTGAGAAATATTGATACAGGTAGCAGTTGCAAAAGTCTTTTAAAGATATCAGAATTAGACAGCCAAAGTTATAGGTATAAATGCCACTAATGAAATCCCTAGGGTACTGGTGAGGATCCCATAAAGAAGGAAGTGAGCAAACCTCTTTAGAGATAATGGACTAGAAAATACATGTGTGGTTTTTAATTTAGATTTTCCATTTAAATTACAGGTAAAGAGCAAAACTGAAATGGAATCTCACCCAGAGAGAGCTATAAGCTTGTGGGTAGATATTGCTTCTTTCATCCCAGCATCCATGCCCTCAGCTTTGTCAACTGCACCACAATTTCCCTCAATTTCCCCCCAAATGTCCACTATACAAGGACAACAAAATCCTGTCATTTTTGAAAACTTGATTTTTTAAAAATGTTTCAATTTGTTAATATTGTCACCATACTTATTTGAAAATACTGTACATCAGTAAGTACTACAGACCATGTTTATACACGTTAATTCAGATGTTTATTAATGGTTACCCACATCTACCTTCCAAATCCTTCCTGTGGAACAAATGAGGGGCTTGGAGTTTTATATAAGAAAATTCATGCCAGCCTCCTAACATCTCTACTAAGTTAGTTTTACCCAAATAAGAAACTAGAGGGTCAGGCAAGTTAAGTAGCTATAGTAAATGAAAGAACCCAGATTTGAACTTAATCTGTTTTAACTTAGAATCTGTGTTTTTTCCATCATGCTCTGCTGTTCTGTCAAAGCACAAGCACATTTTTGCAGAGTGATTGCCTCCAAGTCAAATTTCAAATTTGCTGGAAAGTAATAAAAGAGTGGAGCTGAATGAAATGTTTGCTCCGGGGGCTGGTAGTCAAGCTCAAGTCTCTGCTGATAGACCATAAATCTTTCTCTTCTAAGTTTTTAACTATAATTTAAAAACAGACACAGTCCACTCAAGATAGCATGTCAAGCCCTTTATGTATGTGGTTTATCAACTAACAGGCAGCGTTTTGCAATGGGAACAAAATGGAAGTGTCTTTCTGAACATCTAAGACCACATGACTAGGCTAAAGAAAACTTTAAAAGGCAAGTATTGAACATGAAAATCTACTTTTCCTACTTTTTCCTCTTAAGTATTATTCAAACTCCCATTTTATTTAATAAAAACATACATATCTTAACTTTTTTTAGGCCCTGGTCCTCTTTTATAACAAAAACTATGGGACTTTTCCCCAGAAAAATATACATACACAAAAAGTGAGAGTAACAAGTAGGGGTTTCAGGATCTCTTGAAGCCTATTAATGAACCCTAGAGGTCCACAGACCTCAGGATAACCCTTGCTCTGAACACATATTATAGAAATGCCTACATCATTTCAAAGAACCAGGGTAAAGACCATTTACCTAGTTCTTTCATCATCCTTTATATTTTCAGAAAGCTAAAATTAAATAAACACTCAAACTTTCTCAAATAGACTCCCATAGTCTCAAAGAAACCAGGAATCTAATGACTTGAGTAAATCACCAAATGTAAGGTCATATAAATCCAAAGTCCAAATCAGTTTGTTTTAGCTTAAAATCTGTTACTTCTTTCTGCTCAGACATTTCTCAAGAAAAGAAAGAAATGTTAGTATGACCTAGTAGAGCTTGAGTCCTTCCTACTTTCACATTCATGAACATGTTTATATTACTGATCACAGCAAAAAGAGACCATTTCTAAAATTTACTAAAACGTGCTATTTCACTATATATGATATAAAGTCCATTAAAATAGTTCTTAAATATTCAACACATAGATCTGTGTCAATGCAATTGGGCGTTACATTATGTGGCTGATAAAGCAGATTTTTAAAAGTTCATAAACGCTCAAGTTTTGATGTTTCCCAACACTTGAGTCAAGAACTTTCAGAAATGTTTATTTTCAGATATATCTCAAACTGTAATGTTTTCCCAATCTCTCTTGGTCAACTATTACTTTAGAACATTTCTAGCACTGTCCAACATGTTGTAAGTTACAGAAGGACCTTACAAAAGCAGCCAGGATTCCATCTATGAATAGAATAACTTATGAAAATTTAATTGCAGGGGGCAGGATACTTGTCTATACACATTAAAGATTATTTTGAATCACTAGACACTGTTTCAAATCAGCATCACGATAAGACTAGTTATCAAGTAACTTAAACAAGAACTTCATTTCACCACTTGACAATTAATTACCTTTTAAACAATAATGATCCTCACCAAAGTGCCACTTGGGATACACAGATAGTCAGTTGATACTTTTGATTTATAATGTGTAGTACTTAAGATTTTAAGTAATTCTTTTGGTTAGAGTATCTTCTTTTCTTCTAAAACCAAGAAAATGAGCAGCAACTTAAGCGGAAGGCAGCAAGTATTTAGGCCAATATCATTAAGCCAGTGGAGGATTCCCACTCTTGCGGGGTGAGAGTTATACCTAAGACTCTTCACTCAGAGTAACTTTTTTTTTTTTGGCCTTTCTGTCAAAAGTTAAAGATGCTAACTCTTCAAAGTACTGTTCAAGAGCATTACTGAAATTTCTACCTCATACATATGAATAAAATTTCACATATACTGGTTTCTGGCTAGAAGTTAAATTAAACACACTTCATTTTCATTGACAACTCTTCCCTTTTGAAAGACCCGAGAGAAACAGGGAGAATGAATCCAGCTTCAGAAAGGAAACTGGAACAACCAGATCCATCCTACATAATTGCTTCATCCCAGAAATGAAAAGGCTTGGGGGACAGGAAAATCAGAAGGTAATTCCACGCTCAATAAAATTATCAAACCTCGGTTTGAAACTCAGGCTGTTGTGGCTAGCTGAATCTATCCCAATGGAGATAAAACTAGTTGTATTGGCGCTTGCTTCTCCTCGACCTCTCATTACCAAAAGGTTGCCCTTTGGAAGAAACTCATCGAAACTGAATCAGTGACTTTTGGGAAGAGATGTCAATGTAATCCGCAGTGTGTTCCGGAAATGTGTAACTCTACACACAAAGCAACGTTTCTCATTAAGTATCTCCCTCCCCCTTCACTTTCAACTTCCCCTTAAGATGGGGACAGTCACACAGACATTTTTTTGAAAAACTAAAGAGAAAAGTGAATAAAAGCATCCCGTCCCTGATCAGCCACAGGGCCCCGATGCCGAGTAGGATGGCAGAGTGGACGTTCTCAGTCGCGCAGGTAGCTCCTCTCGGAGGTCGCCAAGTTTCTCCTTCCCCTTTTCCCGGCACCCGCCGGCAACCCAGGGAGTAGGGGCGGCCGCTGGGGCCCCGCTCCGCGCCACCTGGACGCGGGGCCTTATTCCATCCCCGTGCTGGTCGCAACTGCGCGCATGTGAGACCCTCCCGGGCACGCGTGGACGCTAACTTCCCGGGACCCTCGCGCAGTGCCCTGTTCCACGTCCCCCAGGCTCTGCTGGATCCAGCCGCCCTCCCCGCCCCCGAGGGAACGAGCACACCCCCAGCAATGGCAGCACTGATGCGGCGGCCGGCGCCGCAGTCTCCTTTCCCCGGAAGGCGTAAGGCCCCGACTTGGGGCGGCTCGCAGCCCTCGCCGTACAGACTCGCCCAGAGATCTCACCTGGCTCCTGGCATCGGCCTCCAGGGCGGCCTCTGGGCGTGGGCCGGGAGGGGGCGGCGGGGACCGGGCTGCAACCGGGGCCGCAACCTGCCTGACCAGGCTCCCACACGCGCCGGCCGCAGCCGCCCCCGGGGAGTGCGGGCAGCAAAGGGAGCTCCGGTCCCGCGGCGGCGCGGCAAGGCTCTGAGCGGCTCAGGCGTCGGAGCGGGCGGCCGCGGGCGCCGCCGCCTCCGCCTCCATGGCTGTTTACCCGGCTGCATTGTGGGAGTTTGACCTCCGCCGCCGCCAACCGCCGCCTCAGCCTGCGCCGCCGCAGCCGCCTCGCACGCCATGGGAGCCGTGACTGACGGTGAGGCCGCTCCTGCCACCTTGGCCCGCTCCCAGGAGCCGCGGCCTGCACGGCCCCTTCCGGGAGCCCGGGGAGCCCCTGGCCTCCCTGCGCAACCCCCCGGGGCTGCGCGGACTCCCCTGGCCGCTCCCCGGAGGCCGCGCCGGGCCAGGAGGGGAGGTTGTGCTGGGTGGGTGGGTGGTCGGGCGCCTGGGGCGCACGTGGACGGGTGGTGCCCGGAAGGGGTCCGGCCTGTCGGGGATGTGTTGAGGGAGTGCTGCGTGTGGTGGTGGGCTCTGAGGAGTCGCACCCGGAGTCCGTTGGTCCTGTGGAAGACGGGAAGGAGTGGGAATCCCGGGATGGGGCGGAGTTGGGGCCAGCCGGGGAGTAGAGGAGGTCTGGGACTGGTGTCCGGGGGGTGTCGTACAGAGTGTGACACTTGGAGGAGTCCTCTAGACAGAATGGGAAGGGTCCCTCCCCGTAGTGTGAATCGCAGTGAGCCCCGGAACTGGCCTTGGGTTGGGGGATGGGGGGAAGAGAGTGCCGCGAGAGTATTTTAGAGTAGGTGTGAACCGCATCTAAGGGACGGCCGGTGAGTGTGCGTGGGAGATTTATGGGGTGAGGGGCATGTGTAGGGATGGGGCTACCTAGGGTAGATCTTTAAAGATGAGGGAGAGGGGGAGGGGGAGAATATGGGGGGGAGCTTGGGGACGGAGCTTCATGCGCTGTAGTGGGGGAGGGGCAGAGGCTGGAAAGTTGTGATGGCAGTTTAGGAAGGTGACCTGTGTGAGGAGGGGCCCACAGGGTGGTCTGTGGACTGAGCAGATGTAAGAGCTTTATTCCTCGGGGAAGGTGGACTGGCATGATGGGCAGCTGGAGGGAGAATCCAAGAAGCTGTCCAGTTAGGAAGGAAGTCCTTTGACATCTGGGAAGGGGACACATAAGGGCGCTGTGTTTATTTGAAGAGAGAATAACTAGTAGCCATAGCTACCCGTGGAGAGGACACTTTTGAAGAGTTGGGGATAGATCTCCACAGTAATGGGCCAGGCAATGGAAAGAAGAATAATAGGCCCAAATTTGTGGGTGTGATAAGGCGTAGTGGGGGTGGGGATGATCTTCATGGGAAAATTTAACTTTGCTTCATTCCAGTTTCATTGATTCATTAGATATTCATCCCACCTGGTCTATGCTTTGGGCTTACAGCCTAGGACCAACTGGCAAGACCTTTCACCTCTTCTGAGGTTACAGTCTGGTGGGAAGGACACATTGAATAATAGTTTGATGTGTGGCCAGTGTTACTGTAGGGGAAGTACAAGGTTGGGAACTGTAGAAGCATGTAACAAAGATTTCTTTAACCATTCTTGGAGATCAGAAAGTCTCCTTGAATAAGTTACACTTAATCCCATTATAAAGGATAAATAGACATACTGGGACTGGTGTTCCAAGTGGGGAATGACTTGTACAAAGGCCCCAAAGTGTTGGAAGAACTCTAAGATGACAAATATTGGCTAGAACTTAGAAAACTATGAGCAAGAGATTTCTGAGGGCAATGGAAAATCATTAGAAGTTTTTAAAATTGGTCTGTTGTGATCAGATTTGCATTAAAAAAATTGACCACTATACTCTGCTATGTGAAGAATGATTAGAGAAGGGAAAGTGAGAAGTTCCCTCCCTAATTTCTAACATTTATATAGTATTTGTTATATGTCAAATAGTGTTCTAGTTATTTTCCCCATTTTACAGGTGAAACTAGGACATGAAGATGTTAAGTAACTTGCCTAAGGTTGCACAGGTACTATGTTCTAGATTAGGGGTGTCAAACTCATTTTCACCAGGGTCCACCTCAGCCTCACAGGTGCCTTCAAAGGCCCGAATGTAATTTTAGGACTGTATAGATGTAACTACTCCTTAACTAGGGGCAAGGTGGTGGGCACTGCTGCAGGGTAGAAACCAGGTGCCTGGTGGGATAAAACAAAGTGGAGGGCTGGAATCAGTCCACGAGCCTTGTGTTTGCCACCTGTGTTCTAGAGCCTGGATTAAAAACAATGCACTTTGGTTCCAGAGTTCTTGCCCTTCACTATTATTTCATCCTGTCTTTCCACTACTACTGCTGGATCCTGATAAGAGCTAATGGGGGTTCCAACAAAATGGGAATGCAGAGAAGTAGACATGTGGGAGAGAAATGTATGAGGGAGAGTGTCAGGACATCCATGACTGAGTGGATATGAGGGGAAGGATCAAGGATAATCACATATGTCTTGAGTTGAGTGACTGTATGCTTGTTAATGCTACTATGCTTCTCTATTTATTGAGGTAAAGAACTTCCAAAGAAGGGGTGTTGTCAGATAGGAGATAAGAAGGAAAGATGAGTTCTAGTAAAGTTACTGATTGCAGTCAAGTGCCCCCTAAATCCTCAGAGGCCACAGGAACTACCACATGCAAGTTATCTGACCTTGTGCAGGTTAATTAACCTCTTTGAACCTTAGTTTCATTCTTTTTATGGGGAAAATAATAAAATCTACCACATAGGGTGGTTTTGAGGATTAAATAAAAGTTGTAAAGTGCTTTTCACTGAATCTGACACATAATAATGTTCAGTAAATACCAGTAAGTATAAGAGCTGTTTTATTCATCTTCCTCCACTTTCCTGAGATGAGAACTGTACCTTCTTCCTCCTTTTAATGTGCATGATTGTCCTTCTCTGTCTGTAGACAGATCTACCTGATCCATTCCCCTTTTCTCTTTCCTAGAATCAGTTAATCTTTCACCCATAGCCATATTAGTTCATGTATGTTGCTGCTGTAGCCCTTAACACTTAATTTGGCTTATTCTAAAAATATTTACAGCAGCTCATCATATGAGTAAACACAAATGGGTGAGGAAGCAGGGCAAAAAGAACTTGAAGACTTGGAAAAATAATAGGAAGTTAGAAGTGGGGGTGATCTTTAAAATGCTAGGGTACATTTATTAAGAAAGCTGTGGTGGTTCTTGTTTCTCTAGCAGTCCATACCAAGAGATAGGAGCTGGTCCATTCTGTGATGTAGTGTTTATGAGAGAAGGCAACATTAGATAACCAGGACAAGCAGTGTGTTTTTTAAAAACTGGAGAAAAAGCTTATCTTTGAGGTGCTTATAAAGCAAAGCCAGTGTCATATTAATTTTGCAGCAACGAGGATCATGGGGCTGTAAATTAGCACATCGCTTACTAGGTGAAGGAAGACTAAATCACAAGTTAGAAACCATTCCAAAGCCAATACACTGTGGTTTAGGTGAGTAGCTTTGCTGGCCTGCCTTAATTTAGAGCAAGAGTTGTTTTGTGTGTTTTGTTTGTTTTGTTTTGTTTTTTGCTTGTTTGCTTTAAGAATATCTAGACCATAGAGGATTATCTAGACCACAGAGGAATATCTAGACCATAGAGGAAAAGACAAACTACAACTTCTTTAAGCAATTCTCTATAAATGTGGTTTTCTTCAACTGAGATTTTGGTAAAAATCAAGCAGAAGTAAGAGGTGTGTGATAGGCCAACAAGTGTCTATTGCATACATTCTAGGCACAATGCCAGGTACTGGCTACAGTAGTAAACTACAGAGGAAGGCCTGATTCCTACTTGGGGGAGGGAAGCAATTATGTGTGATCAATGAGTAAATAAGATAATTTCTGAAAAAGAACATAAATTATTTCTGAAGTTAATTTATTTCTGAAAATGAAATAGATAGAATGTAAGAAAGAGTAATGCAGAAGGCTGCCAACAACTAGGTTAAAATAGAGTGATCAAGTATGGCTACTCTCCAAAGTGACATTTAATATGAGACCCTCAGGGGTCAACTCTGTGAAGACCCCAGAAAAGTATTCCATATGGAGGCAACAGGTAGTGCAGAGGCCTGAGGTGAAAACAAGCCCTTCTCCCTTTAGGGAAGGTAAGGGCAGGGTGGTGGGGGCAGGTGGGCCAAGGAGCAGTGTGAAAGAAAAGGAGGTTGGAAAAAATTGCATGAAGAGCCTTATGGGCTATGGAAGGGAGATTGGGTTGTCTTTTGTGGGTATTTGGAAATGACTGGAAGATTTTAAGCAGAAGATTAATCATCTGATATATCTTTTCAAGCATTCTGTGTAGGCTGTGTCGAGAATGGATTCTAGGAAGGCAAGAATTGAAGCAGGGAGGCTAATGAGGGGTATTCCAAGTGAGAGACAAGGTAGTTTTGAATTAGGGTGATGGCAGTGAAAACTGAAAAGTGGGTGGCTTAGATATCACAATCATCCTGAAAAGTTCTTGAAGGATTACCAATACCTGTCTCTGGAGCATAAAGGAAGGCTGTTGTCCTCTTCTGAATCTGAATCTGAGGTGCCTGGCAAGGTGTTGTGCCCATGAAATTCTTACATATGGATCTGTCTATTTATGAACTGGGAACTCTTGGAAGACAAGCTCTTTATTTCATGCACCCAGCACAAAGATACATTGATTAATTTGAGGAACTTCCCTGCCTTACAGGGAAGTAAAGAAGCACCATATTGTTATGTATAGATACTGTACTATGGATATTATCACAAGCACAGTCATTTTATGGATGGAAAAATGGAGGTCTTGGGAAGTCAGTGACTTTGTCATATAGCCAATTATTGGTAAAGCCATTCTTTCTCCCCTCCTGTTGTACCCCAGCATTTGGACTAACTAAAAAGCAGTTTGGATGTTGTCACTTCTAATTTAAACTATGTTCACAGTTTGTATTTTGTATGTTTAATTTAAGGGTGCTAAACAGTGTCAGTACACTGATAGAAATAATTTTAGAAGCCCTTTCTGCAATACAAAGA